ACATCCTTGTCGTACGCCCCTCTTTATGCACCGAAATGTACCTAAACAGTTGTTTATTCTTATAGCTACTGTTTGCTGCCAATACATATTCTTTATTATTCGTAGATCTTTCCCATCAATGTTTAATTTTTCTAACAGTTTGATTACTTCTTCATGCTTCACACAGTCAAATGCTTTTGTATAGTCTATGAAGCATAAGTAAAAATCAGTCTTTACTTCTATAGCTCTTTCTGACAATGTCCTTAGGATGTATATGGCATTGTTTGTACCTTTTCCTTTTACAAATCCACATTGTTCATTGCTGACTTCTGGTTTAATTTTGTTTCTTATTCTTCTCATAATTATTCTCATTAAAATCTTAGTCATGTGACTCATAAGACTTATTGTGCGATGATCTTCACATATTAAAGTTCATGGTTTCTTTGGCAGAGCTATAAATATGGATTTTAAAAGGTCATTTGGAATATACCCACTATTATAAATATCATTTAAAAGTTTAGTTATTATTTCAGTTCCAAAATCTCCCGGTGCTTCTATTTCTTCCAGTGAGATGTTGTCTGGCCCGGTTGCTTTTCCTTTCTTCATATGAAGCAATGCATCCTCAACGTCTGCAGTCATTATTGTAGACCATCACTGTTGGTCTGCAGTTCTACATCTGGTCTGTTATCATCATACAATTCCACTATAGACTGATATTCTTCTCAAAAACCCTCTATAATCATACTATACTAAATAAATGACGATTTATCATTTGTTCAACATCTCATGAACACACTTATAAGCCATTTTCTTGAAAACTGCCTGTTAAAGCACAACGATTTTTAGCATGCAGCTTATAATATCCATGAAGTTAAGGAAATATTGTTTTCGCTAAAGAAGAATATCATATGTAGTTTTTTCTTCTTTACGATATAAATTTGTATCATGAAACTATCTTGGTAGACTTTTGGAAGGTTTACTTTCACTAGTGCCAGGAAGTAATGCACACTATGACTGGTTTAACAGTGGGTCAAAGAAAAGCTGTATAATTTCATGATTTTCTCATGCAAAGTCGCACTCTTAGTGATCAGACACGAAAATAAAACTTCGGTGATGGTTTTTTAGTCAAAGGCACATCCACAAATTAGTGTTGAGTAATTTATCATATAGCTAGCTTAAAAAAAGCGACATAGACATCAACTTCAAAATGAATTTGAGATGCAAATGTATAACTATGCAGAAGGTTACTGTTTTACTGTACCAGCACTTCCTCAGGGGAATCTAAGATAAGTCATTTAAACTGTGATTTTCATGACCTAGAGAAATTAACACCATTGGTGTTCGGTCTGGATAGACAGCATCATTTAACCGCTGGATTAGACAGGACACAGACTTCACTCATGTCAAGCAAGGAAAGAAAATGAAAGCTGACGATTTAGATGTAGATGTCATTAGACATGAGATCTTAAAAATGTTAGAGACGAATCAACTTATTACTCTCTGAAAACTGAAATTAACATTGAAATCACAATGAAATCACAATGCAGTATTAACATTTCAAAAAGTAGTTAGTATGTAGAAAATTGTAAGAGCCACTGGGTAAAATTGAAAGAGCCACTGGGTAAAATAGAAAGAGCCACTAGGTAAAATTGAAAGAGCCACTGGGTAAAATTGTAAGAGCCACTGGGTAAAATTGTAAGAGCCATTGGGTAAAATTGTAAGAGCCACTGGGTAAAATTGTAAGAGCCACTGGGTAAAATTGTAAGAGCCACTGGGTAAAATTGTAAGAGCCACTGGGTAAAATTGTAAGAGCCACTGGGTAAAATTGTAAGAGCCACTGGGTAAAATTGTAAGAGCCACTGGATAAAATTGTAAGAGCCACTGGGTAAAATTGTAAGAGCCACTGGGTAAAATTGTAAGAGCCACTGGGTAAAATTGTAAGAGCCACTGGGTTCACTTTCATGAAAACTGGAGGTAGAAGGAATATTATTTTGAAAAGCCACATCTGATTGACAGTCGAAGCAAATACCTGAGGCAGATCCGTGAGCGACGGAGGCAAGGCTATGATATTGTTTATTTGGATAAATCCTGGGCTAATGCCCACAACACCTATTACCAGTCAGTAAACGGTGAACAGTACAGAAACATTCCAAGCAGCAAAGACCAGCGCATTATACTCACTTATGCAGGAAGTAGTGAAAAAGGCCTTATCCATGATGCTGGACTTATTTTCCAATCAAAAAGTACGGATGGTAGGGACTATAACATTGAAATGAATGGACACATTTTCAGGCACAGGATGGAGAATGATCTACTTCAAATTCTGGACAGACCATCATGCCTAGTAATGGATAATGCCGCCTATCATAAAGCCATATCAGAGGAAGACAAAGCACCAACGACATCAAATACAAAAAAAATCAGATTAGGACATGGCTTGCTAGGGAATAAACGTCAACTTTGATGATACATATTTGAAGGCAAAGTTGTTGCAGCTCGTGAGGAAAAATCCCGTGAGGAAAGCAAATAAGACAAAGGTGTATGACGTTGACACAATCATTAATGAATACAGCCACAGTTCTCTGCAACTCCTTGCATATCATTCACACCTCAGCCCGATAGAGCTTGTTTGGGCTAAAGCTAAAAGACAAGTTGCTGAAAAGAACAGCACATTAAAATGTGTGATGTTGAAGTCCTTCTCAAAAATAGACATTCATTCATTCCCAGAGGAAGACGAGTACTGGCACCGAGATGGATTACTATTTCTTCAGCCAGTAACAATTATCAACCTTTTAGGATTGTCAGATTAGGAATGATTAAAACCACTTTTTCGATGATTGGTTGAATATCATCAACTCGTTAGGTACATCTACAATTGCAACAAATATATCTCCATATCCAAATGTGTCAACCATAATACAATTTGCTGTGCAGTTAAGATACACCGTGGAGTCTAATGGTGACTGAAGGGGAATACTAACTGTTGCATATTGGGGACATGTTTATAATTGAACAAGACAGACAGACTGGCTGGATCTGCACCACTGGGTGGTGAATTGATACATGAGAAGGCAGATTTAGTCAAAACCCTTTGGGAACAAGTAACAAAGCCAGAAGAGAAAATAGATTATCATGGCCTGGAGAGAAGAATACACCTGGGTGTGACCAGAGGGCCTGGCCAGCACACTACACTCAGAGGAATGGCAAGATGGATAGATAATCAGACTGCAACTGATACCATTAGTATTGGAACTCTATGCTGGCCGCTAAAGACGGGGACGGAGCACATATAGAAATGCCCTGAGTGCTCTGATGTCTTTCTTGACTCAGCTCAACTCAACTCAGTTGAACATAAATGACAACAAATAAATTTACTTCACCTATCAATGTATTATAACGACATGCCTCTGACAAAAAAATACAACCGGAAATTCAGATTTCTACTGTAAAATCTAAAAGTTCACTTTTAAATAAATACCTTATATAATAATTCTAAGTATGTATAGCCAACTTATTGTGTCCCGACTACTTCCATCAACAACAAATTGCATTTCTGGTGACAATTGTTGGCTTTGGTGCCTATAGCAACTGCCATATGCATTTACTGTGTGTGCATAATTCTGGATTCTGCCAGGACATCATTTTTCAGATGGGACAGTGAGAGACATTTCATTTGATTTTTATTGGCACAGGAATGGAACAAGTATGGTGTGACCCAATTGCAGTGAAGCTGAAACCTCAACTAAGGAGGATGGAGACAGCTAGATACGTAGGCTTCCTTGTATGAAAGGAAATGTCTTGTCTTTTCTGGTTTTTTAAAGCACAATGTGTCCAATTCTTGAGATCCACCTGGACTTTTTCCTAGAAATTTTTACTTAAAACTGAGAAAACATTGAGGAGGTTGTTAGCCTTTTTTTTTGGTCAGGAATTCAACCTATCATACCAGATTTTCTCACTGCTCACCAAGGCCTGAAACTGCTGCAGACACATGCTACCAACCTTTACTGCAGAGATGCAACTGGATGATGATGACACATCATAGCATTATATAGAATATATTGCTTAGACATGTATAAGGGGCACCAGGATACAAACATATAATAGCTAGTTTGTCACATTATCATATAACTCTGTGGTTCTCTGTGTCTCTGAAAGGACACAAAAATGCTGCAGGTGGCGATTTCAAAATGGGAAACACAATATAACCATTCTTGTGAAATATTCCGCTGCAACATAACCACAGGCTATCTTGGAAACTTAAGACATTTTGTGATTACCATAAATTACCTACATTCATAAGGACAAGAAAAAAATATTAAAACACAAATTCACCAGTAAATTACACTCTTCATAACAATAAACTATTTGACGAGATCTATACTTCTGATAAAGGCCAACTATTCAACTGGACATCACTATATAAGAAGTTAAAAAACTTAAGGCAAGTGAACAACATGACATGTACACACACAAAAATATATATATAATAACACTCGATATCTGTCTCTTTTTTTTCTGTCATTGTACTTGTTGTCTTTGAGTGTGAGGTTAGGAAGAGCTTTATTGTCAAAACTGTTGTGTGGGCTGTGTACTTCATGTGACTAACATTGCTAACTGCAATGCTAAGGTGTTGAGCTCTTCTGCAGGAAAGTTAAAAGTGATCAATTAATGAGTCAAGAACTAATATCAATGCTCTCTGGACATTCCCATATCTGCTCAGTTTCCTCCAGTAGCCAATGACTACTTCAAATACTGACAGAGGCACCATAACTGAAAGTCCACTTATCTTTCCTCTACATGCTGAGTATCGTACAGAATGATCCGCTATCTCAGGAACAGGGAGGGGTTAACATCTTTGAATCCTTAATTTTGTTTAAAAAAATGTCCAGTGTGACTAGGTAGCCAGTCAACCTAAACCAAATAAAGATGGTATATCCCCCAGCCATGTTGTCTCCTAACTCCTGCGGAAAACAAACTAGCTTGTGCATAACTACAATGATCAAATAATGAATGGAACTTACATTGTTCTTATAGAGAGTGTTGAAATGGTTGTTCCTGAAAAAAACACACAACTCCTTCTCTTTGATGACAGAAGACAATTCACACAGGCCATGGTAAGTGAGTTGCGAGGCTGTGCGGTCTAAAAACTGCTCTGCAATCAGTGCTGTGAGCAAATGAGGTCAACATTGTAGAAATATTTACTGAAGAAGCAAACAGACCTTATCCTAGTCATCTTATCTTCTTTACTTATTGTTTTTGTTTATTCGTCTGAGTGACATAACTGAGTTGTGCCTGCATCTCTGGGGTCCACTAATTCTAGTATCCCTTGCTAGCTCAGTTTATGCTAATCTGGTGACTGAGGTGAGGTACAGAGTTACTCCTTATATACAACACAATATCCTTAACCTTTCCTCACGCATGTGACCGAAGTCATCATGCCACAGTCATCTTATAATAGGCATAAATGAAAAACTCAAGAGAGTTAAATCTTCGATCTGAAAATCTAAAACAGGGTAACCAAGGACTGCCATTTGTCCCCCAGACTGTCACAGAGTACATCTCTCCATGGAATATTCTGGTAACAGGCACTAGTCTGGATAACAAAAAGAGTACTGACCATCATATCTGCAGTGATAAGGTATGCTAGCAATAACCAGTTACGTATGCTGGTAAAGCAAGATAGCAGACAAAGCAGAGAAGGCCAAGGAGTTAGCAAAGCAAAAATGTGGAAAATACTGTGGAAGAGAAACCCAAGGAATGAAGATGAGCTTGCAGGCTACCTGGCAGTAAAAGGGAACCACTATCGACAGCCTGATCAAGATATCTAGAGAGAGAATGTGAGAGCTGTTTGTAACCTAGATGTGTAATGAAGAAACTCTCCAACATTTCGGGAATTTCTATCAAAATATTTACACTTTCAATATATTTGACTGCTTTGGGGACTGCTTCTGATCAGAGGAGGAAAGTAATGAAAATTACTCAAAATTTAGCAGACAGAAGAGAAAGGAAATAGAAAAACTTGACAAAATATGAGGAAAGATATAAGACATATCATTGCGTTGGGGAAAAAACTACAACACAATATGATATAAAATGGGAACACTTCTCTGGGTCATAATGAAGTGTAATCTCACCATATAATGATATATGCCTGACAAGAGATCCGAAACATGACCAGAATTTACCATTAGTGTACGAAGAGGTAAAGTTCCAGAAGACTGGCTACATCACTGTCCCAATCCCAGGAAACATCCCATACAGCTAAGAAGTTACTATACTACAAAACATCCAAGATAAATGTCTAGAAAAGATAGCAGCAAGAGACATCATTTTACTAAGTTAAAAAGGGCTAAGTTTAAAAACAAAAGGTGACCTTGTGAATGCTGATTCATATTGTAAAGTACCTATCTATGCTTCATGATGCTATTCGAAGAAACCTTCCAGGCCCGCTGACTAGAGGAGTACTGCTCCTTCAAGACAATGCTAGAACACTGCGGCTTGGTTAACTCAGGAGACAAATTAACCATCTAGAGTGAGAACATTTGGAACATCCACGTTGCAGTCCCGTCTTAGCCTCTAGCAATTTCCATCTTTTTGGTCCACTGAAAACCCACCTTGACAGGAGACATTTCGCAAATGACGCAGAAGTTGAATGTGAAGTGAAAATTTGGTTTAGAAAACAGAGCACACAGTTCTATGCAGCAGGTTTGGGAGAAATTAAAAACAATGGGACAAGTGCATCAATGTTGGTGGAAATTATGTTGAAAAATAAAGGGATAGTGCAGTATAAAAATAAGCAGTTTTCAAGCTGTTATCATCTTTAGTTTTGTTTTAAACAACCATTTGTGACTGACTTATTGACTTCCCCTCATAATAATGCTGAAGTCTAAAATAATTTCACTGACAATAGCAACTATTCAATGATTCACTGACAATAGCAACTATTCAATGATTCACTGACAACAGAAACTATTCAATGATTCATTGACAACAGCAACTATTCAATGATTCACTGACAATAGCAACTATTCAATGACTTGTGGTCTGACAAAATGTTACAGACATGAACATATAAGTTTAGTAATAACTTTAATATGAAAACGAAAACAAAAAAGAGACTAATTACCCATTTAAGTTATACAGATAGACAAATACCATGTGTAAATAATGGCATAGAAGAAAATGTTTACAATTAGAGAACTTTTGAAGCTCTTCGATTATGAATTAAAACGACAGGATGGATTACAAACATAGCCTGGCTCAGTCAATACACATCTATAAGCAACATAGCCTGGCTCAGCCAATATACATCTATAAGCAACATAACCTGGCTCAGCCAATTTACATCTATAAACTATAAACGAACATTATTCTCACCCAGTTCATAAAAACCAGACTGGCATATTTACCTTGTCGGACATTCTCCTCTTCTTGCTGCGTCTGCCGCAGGCAGATGATGTTCTCTACCAGCTGATTATAGCTGCACTGACCGACTGCACGGAGGGTGTCCAGGTCCTGGGGGTCGACAAGCCAGCCGTGGTACAGAGAGATCCCCAAGAGGTCAAACACAATTAACTCAGGCGTGTATTCAAAGTCACCAACACTGAAAACATGACGACATTCCTTATCAAGTCTGGCATCTCACAAAGTAAACCCCTTCCTTTATATATGTAACCATTATATGTCTATATTAATGTTGGCAGCAATAGCATCTGCTATCCTCTTATGGGTGATTCTGTTTGCAACAGATCTGTCAATGACAGAGAGAAAGGAGAGAGGGGGAAGCAGTGTGACAGAGAAAGTGGGCCTGACACAGAGAGACAGATTCAGAGAGAATCCTGTGTTAGTATGCATGTGGATAGCACACATGATTTAATTCCAGATTGTATGTGTAATGTCAGCTTACAATTTAACAGTCTCTTCTGCCATTGTCTGCATAAAATAAAACTGATATCTTATATCAGCATTCATTCTTCAACAACGCAAACTGTTTTCAACATGTTGTTTTTGGGCACCCCTGTTTTCTCTTTCCTTCTGGTGAGAGCTGTTTTGGCAGGTATATCAGAAGTCATTCTCATAACGTGGCCAAGCCATTTCCATCTTCTCTTGGTAATCATACTGTCTAAAAGTTTCTTGGTTTGTGGCTTGAAGTAGATTAGTGTTTGAGATTGTATTTGGCCAGAAAATTTTGATAATTCTACGTAGACATGTGTGGTGGAAGGTGGGCAGCTTGTGTGCATCCTTTTTGATCATTCTCCAGCATTCTGCTCCATAAAGAAGAACTGGCAAAATGATGCTCTTGTAAAGTCGGAGTTTTGTTCTTCTGCAGTAATTGTTGGATTTCCAGATTTGCCTCATCCTTCCAAAAGCAGCTCTAGCTTTGTTCAGGTGTATGTCTTCCTGTGTCCCTCCCAGTAGGGACACCACACTGCCAAGATATGTGAAAATTTCTACATTTTCAAGTGATTGGTTACTTATGGTCACTGGTTGTTGGTTTGGACTGTTTGTCATGATCTTAGTTTTCTTTGTACTTATTCTTAGTCCCACCATTTCTGCTGTGCAGTTTAGTCTGTTACTTTTCTCTTGTATAGCAACAGGGTCTCAGCGATATGTTAATTGCAGATCTGTTTCTGTGACTATGCCGCACCGGCGAAAGTATTTCCCACGCTGCTACGCACGGAGCAGATTTGAGGCTAAACTAGATTACTGTCCGTTGACAGTTTCGAGAAACACAACAATACACGATAATAGCTAAATGGCGGGGAGACCTCGTGCTCCGATGCAGGTTAGCGATAGTGTTCATCCGCCTAAACTCACTGCCGAGCGTATCACCCGTGCTGTTACGCGCGGCACGGATTTGGGGCTAAACTAGATGGCTGGGACTCACAAGCAAATAAATTGGAGGAAGTTGCAGGAGATGCGGTAGCTGCTGCTCGTGAGTCCCAGCCATCTAGTTTAGCCCCCCATCCATGCCACGCGTAGCGGCGTGGAGGATACGCTCGACGCTGAGTTTAATTGGAGGAACACTATCGCTAACCTGCATCAGAGCGCATGGTCTCCCCGCCATTTAGCTATTATCGTGTGTATTGTTGCATTTCTCGAAACTGTCAACGGTCGGTAATCCTAGTTTTGCTGCAATGTGTTCATCGGAGGAAGTCCGCATTTTACACACAACTGAGGGTATTTGTTTGGCCGCCATAATATGGGGATGAAGTTCGAAGGAGAGCCAATTAGTCTGAATTTATTTTATCTACTGGCTATAAATGTGCTGCTCAAATATGGGGAAAAACCTTGATACATTTCTTTCTCCTTACTAACCATTTTTATGCTCTAATATGTACATGTATGTAAACATGATCTATTTGATGACTGATATAATGTTTATTTGCTACTAGAAATGTGAATTGGTATATTTGATTGTTATATTTATTATTAATACTATACAGTTCCTCGTGTTATGGCGACCCCCCAACCATACAGATATTTTCGTTGCTACTTCATAACTTCAGTGAATATGTGTTTTCCTATGGTCTTTGGTGACCCTTGTGAAAGAGTTGTTCAACCCTCAAGTTGAGAACTGCTGTTCTAGATAAAGTTAAAGGTCACAGAGCAGGTTATTAAAGGCGGAGACAGAAATGTTCCATTCTGAGTGTAAGCATCGCTTCTGAGGTCCTGGTGGTTAGCATCCTTTGGATATTTTCTCCAGGGTAAACAGGTGTGTTGGGAATTGAACATGCAGACAGACTGGCTGGTTCTGCACCATTTGGTGGTGCAACTGATGAATGACAAGCTAGATGACAGGTGAATTCTTTGGAAGTAAGTCAACAAACAGAACATCATGGTCTGAAGAGAATGGTAGAGCAAGGAGTGACCAGGGGATCTGGCCGATATTCAACACTCAGGGTAAAGGTGAGATGGATACACAATGGGACTGCTACTGGTACCATGAGGATGAAAACTGTGTGGTGGCTGCTGAAGATGAGCTTAGAGCGTGTATCAGTATGTCCTGGGTGCTATGATATAGATTCTCAACTCAGTTGGACTCAATGCTGTATTGTCATCTTCACCATATGGCCCACAGGTGGTTCCCCCCTCCCCCCCCCCAATCCCCCTCCAGTGAACCTATCTAGGGCAACTGCCTGCTCTCAACGGAAACCAGGGGTAGAACATAGGCTTTCTGTGCCATTCAAAAAGGCTTCCATACATGCATAGCTGTAACATGGTGCTCTGATAATGTGATCACCCAAGGAATCATATTGTTTTGCACATAACTGCTTAACCTCACTTCTGTATTTGAGCCTTCCACTCATTATAGTCTGTGCCTTTCAGGGTCAGTAAGAAGCAGTCTGTAGACCACAGACATAGATGACCTTCCTAAAACAAGCTTTCTACTTCCTCAGGATGTCAGACTGTTCTTAGTTAAGGGCACTTTCCATATGAGTGCCTCAGCGTAGCAGTATCAGGGCAGACATGAATGATCCCTTTGTAAAGCATGTGTCACCACTCCAACAAATGTAGTCTTTGGTAGCGGACACTTGATATTGTACTGTCATTCTGTAGATCTTCACTCGCCTGACATTTGAACTGTTTTTTTATTTTTTTTATTTATTTAGCAGGGTTCTAAATCAAAAGATGTTTCAAGTGCAAGAAGTCAATTATTAGGCATAAGTGCCATCCGAAGTATGGAATGGGATATCCCCTTATACAAAACACAGCTGCTTTAGCTGTTTGTCATGCCTGTGACTAAAATCACTGTACAAAATTTCAAGTAAACATGACCTACCCTGTAAACTTGACATTGACGTCCAGCCCTGTCTGCAGCTTGTACATCACACTCATGGCATCCTGCATGTTTTGTTCATAGTTGGCCTGTGTTGTCTCGGTCAAATTCTAAACAAATTGAAACCATGTGGTCAAGCATTTCAGCTATATGAGAGATGCTTACAAATATTGACTTTACAATGTGTGAAAATATACTGAAATAGGTATAACTACTTCAACATGGATGTGTCAACAAGTGAACCCAACAAGCAATCATTGTTACTTTCTCTAACGATGGGGTCATTTTCTTCTTCTTCTTTAGCGATCAATGTTTGCTATGTGTCTATTTCAATATGGGTCATAAACAGAATGGCACGCTTTGAGTCTGAAAATGTTGATCAGAGTATTTCTGCCAAGCCTGTTAATGCTGTCATCTCTGATTGGTAATTGTTATTTTTCTCTCTCCAATTAGTCTTGATGGACTGCCTTAAGAGTGTAAGCAGTCTTTGCAAGCTTGTCTGCCTTTTCAGTTCCCAGGGATACCCCATGGGGCCATTATCCACCGAAGGACCAGGTCAGTTCTTGTGGGCAGCATTCTGATGTTTTGGATTTCACAGACGATGCTGTCCTGTTTGGAACATGAGATGGCATGGAGGAGCGGCTTCATGTCAGTGAATATAGCAGTTTTATTTTTCAATTCTGCTCGATTGCTGAGGGTCTGCACAGCTGAAAGGAGGGTAGTTACCTCTGCTCTGTTGTTGATGAGGTCATTAAAAATGACAACATTCACAAACAACTGTAAGGTATGGTATTGTGATGGCACTGGGGTATGTGATGAAGAAGTTAGGGTGCCCACAATGCTCAAGCAAAAGGCTTTTGTCTATCCAAGGTGAAAATCAAATCCTACGCTATAAACTGCTTGGAGGTTATTTAAGAAAGTTGTTTTTCTGTAACAACTTGAGAGACCATCTCATTAGACTTCTTCTTCACCGTTCTGAGCCCTTGAGGTTCACTGCTACAGATATTACCCGTCTCCACTCATTTCTTTGGTTGGCGTTCTCTTTCCAGTGAGTGACACCAAATGTGTGTAGGTCTGTCTGGATATTATCTCTCCATTATCGTCTTGGTCTGCATCATGGTCTTCAGCTCCCTCGTGTATAAAGTTCTTACTTCTCAATCTTCTGACATTTCCTCAATATACCCAAGCCATTTCAGTCTATTAGCTCACATGATACCAATGATAATTGGGGATTTAAACAGAATAGGAATTTCGTTGTTGCTTCTCTCTCTCCATTCTCTATTGATGAGTCAAAGATTCATCGTAAGACTGGTTAAATAAATGTGTAATAAGGCGTAATCTCTTAGTTTCAGAGCCATTTAAAACAACTGCATTAGACAACTTGATCTGAATAAATGCTGTAATGATGTATCTGTGTACATGTGTGTGCGCCTTTGGGTGTGTGTGAGCATGCACAGAGACATGAGGATATAGATGAAGGACTTTGGAATACCAAAGAAGTTTATTACCATGACCAAACTATGTATGGAAGACACTTGTAATATAGTCATATATAAAGGCAGAAAGTAAGACCCTTTTCAAATAACATCTGGTTTAAAGCAAGGTGATGCTCTGTCCCCACTTCTTTTCAACTTGGCCTTGGAGAAAATTATAAGGAAATTGAAAAAAAGAGTGTGCTATAGAAGATTCTACAAGAATACATACAAATCGATAATATGAACATCAAACGAACGGAAACATATAAGTGCTTAGGTGCAAACTTCAACTGCTCCAACATGCTGAGAGAAGAAATACAATCTAGAATACGATCCGGAAAAAAAGTTATAATTTGCCCTTCAACATCTGCTAAAGTCAAAGTGTCTGTCTCACAACACCAAGACAAAATATATCAAATGTTGATAAGACCAGTTTTTTTATATGGCTCTGAAACTTGGAGCAAAACTAAAAGAGAGGAAGCCTTATTACAGGTTTTTGAAAAGAGTATTACAATGAATCTTTGGACCCATCAAAGATGCAAACAGCGGTGAATGGAGAGTGAGAAGCAACAATGACATTCATTATCTGTTTAAATCACCATTGAACACTGGCATCATAACAGCTAATAGACTGAAATGGCTTGGGCATATTGAGAGAATGTCACATGACAGAGAAGTAAAAACTGTATATACAAGGGAGTTGAATGGTCATAGACCATGAGGCAGACCAAGAAGACAATGGAGAAATAACTTCAAGGGCTTGAAACGCTGAAGAAGAAGAAGAGTATCAAGTACTTTAGGGTATCTGTTAGCTGAGCGCTCTAAAAAAGACCAAGCTTTGACTGTAATGTCTTATGCATTGATATTCAGACCATAAAGACATAACTTGCATCCATTTCCAGTGTGGCCCGTGTTTGAGAATTCTTGTCCTCACCGCCAGGCTCAGAAACCAGTACTATGTGCAGTGCCAATATCAACACTTCACTCAAGCAGAGACCTGGTGATCCCTGGAATGTACAGTCTGACTGGGAGCTCAAGACTGCACTATAAAGTGGGGCTCCCAAGACTTGACTGCTGTGCAATCTGGTCATTGTTATGCAACATCTGCAGTGCAAGGAATCGGTTTAAAATATAATTAAAAGAATTCTACAAAACATGTTAAAGCATTTAGAACTGACTCTTGGTACAATGTCAGTTATGACAAAAAAATATGTGTGAAAGTCTCTCATGTGCCAATTACAAGTACAGCTCAGTAAACACAAACTGTCAACTTCTAAATGTCCGTACCTGCGGCATATTTTCAAAGATACATTCTCCGAGGTAAGTCATCAACTGCTCAGAGGTTATCATCTCTAACATTGGTGCCAGTTTGACCTGTTATTTACAAAGAAATCATACAGAGTTATTTGCAAGGAAACATACATGTCCTGATATGTGTGTATGTGTATATATATATATATATATATTTGTAAATGTGTACAATCAAACTCTAGGATTCAGTATCAGCTTTCTCAGCCTGATAGTCACTGTGTTTGTCCTATCTTTATTAACAATGACCACTGTAATGCTCATCTTACTGCATATAGTTGTTATTATTTTATTTACTATCATCATTACTGCAATTGTAATCATCACCATCACTTCTAAAAATCTATCATCAAAGACTGATGTCAATGTTTTAAGTGAAGCATATTTTCCACCATCTATATCACTGATAAGCTACTATCATGTTGCTCATCACCAACAGTCTAGTCACATTATTATAATCTATTCATAATCACTGCATTAACCACTACCAGAGTTGTCTTGTTATAATCACCTTAACCAGCATTAATCATGGTTTTATTGACCACTACCACTATCAGGGTTGTCTTGTTATAATCACCTTAACCAGCATTAATCATGGTTTTATTGACTACTACCACTATCAGAGTGTCTTGTTATAATCACCTTAACCAGCATTAATCATGGTTTTATTGACTACTACCACTATCAGAGTGTCTTGTTATAATCACCTTAACCAGCATTAATCATGGTTTTATTGACCACTATCAGAATGTCTTGTTATAATCACCTTAACCAGCATTAATCATGGTTTTATTGACCACTACCACTATCAGGGTTGTCTTGTTATAATGACCTTAAGCAGCATTAATCATGGTTTTATTGACTACTACCACTATCAGAGTTGTCTTGTTATAATCACCTTAACCAGCATTAATCATGGTTTTATTGACCACTACCACTATCAGAGTTGTCTTGTTATAATCACCTTAACCAGCATTAATCATGGTTTTATTGACCACTATCAGAGTTGTCTTGTTATAATCACCTTAACCAGCATTAATCATGGTTTTATTGACTACTACCACTATCAGGGTTGTCTTGTTATAATCACCTTAACCAGTTCGTTATCCTCTTATAACCAAATTCCTGTCCTTTTTAGGATGAAATTTTTCGTTATTTGAAGCCCTACTCTGGCTCTTGCCAGAGGCCACAATATAGCCTGCCCATAAATATGGCCTAAAGGCTGAACGCGGTTTCTTGGACCTCTCCACAGTAATCCTCATCTGCATGGTGGCACATTGTGTCATCGGGTGTTTATCGCTTGTGTGATGTCCTGATGGGGTAGAAAGTCAGTCAGTCAGTCATTATCCTCCCATAATTATTAACTACCGCTTTGAATGCGGATAAATCCCCTCTAGCTCTATCATGAGAGCTGCTTAGTTTAAACTCATTCTTGACTGAGCTTCCCGAGAGGATACAGGCGTCTTGCTGCCTTTTCTGTATGTCTACCGATCTCTGTTTGAATCACCGATTCATCTAAAAATATCCTTGAGCATGGGTAAGTACATTATAGTTTATGAGTACCATACATGTAGCGCTGCTGCTGAGTGTAGGACTGTGGTGGCTGTGTGAAATAATGTGACGGAGCAGTCCAACCATTCTAACTAAAGGTGGGCACGTAACCTAAACGCCCCCCTAAAAGCCGATGTTTATTCTCTCCTCGGATTCCTTCAATGGGTTACAGACAGCTCGGACATTAGATATCCCTTTTACAGTCTGCCTGTTGCCTTGTTATATGTATTGTAGCAGGCTTCGGACTAAGACAGGTATTTGGGTCAACGCACAAGCCAGGGTCAGGCTGAATGTAGTACAGGTCAGGCGTCACATCCGCCCTCCTGCCAGCTTCTAAAATGTAAACAAACTGACGAGGAGATGGCTGTGTTGTGTGTGGCTGGTAGGTGTTATATACATATATATTCCTGTATTTGTGGTATACTTGCGGGAGTATAGATATCCCAGTATGGAAAGGGAAAGGTGTTATCCTTCTATAAGTTGGCATACGCAAACTATCGCCATTAACAGAGAGCAGCATTAGAGAACCTTGTTTCCTACTCACTTCTCAGCTGACAATGGTCATCCTTTGGTTTGTTGCAGACTAATGCAGTCTTTCAAAACCTAGCACAGACCTTTGAGCTAAAGTATGTGGATAGATGAAGGGGTGGGGAACTTGGTATGTATGGTGTTGGATGATTGCTAATCCTGGTTTTCCTCTTTGTCACAGGATTTTAACCTTGCCTGGAAGCCAAGTCGACAATCAGTATTAACATTATCCAGTGTAACCCACATCCAGCAACCAGGAGGAAGAATCTATTCAGAATATTTCTCCTGTCCATGCACCCTGTCTGTGACTCCAAAGTGATATTAGTCTGTGGTTTTGTGAGAGTTATCACCAGCTAGTATTATACTGAACAATACTATGTGTAGCCATACTACCTGCCATGACCAGAGGGTGGTATAAAATTTAGAATTAATTATTCACACGGACGCATATTCCGTTATATACCCAGGACACTGACATTATTATTTTTGGGTATTTGTCTAGACAGGTATTTAAATTCATTGTTGGCAGTATGCTGAAACATAATTCAATGAAGAGTTCCCAAGTCATCATACCTGCTCTACCAGATGTGTGAGGAGGCACCATTCAATTGAACAGGACAATTGAGACAGATAAGTCTTTGAACCAGCACCTGCGGTTAATCCTAAACCTAACTACCAGAATTCCACATTTTGGCAGTGATGATTTTGGCTGCTACGAGGGACAACCCAGAAGCCTATCTGTCATATAATGTTCTTTGTTTTATTAGTGAGGATTGATCTTGCTGAATTCTTTCTTTTTTATACCTACAAGTGTTGCACTGATTACATGATGTTTTGTGATTTTTACTTTCTGTTTTTAGTGTCCATCCTTCACAGTTCCTAGTTGTCTGGAGTGTTTGTGGTAGTGTTATACTTCATGTTATGCTGTGTTATTTTGGCTAGCATAGGAGACTATCTAGTCTGGGGGCTTAAAAGTAGTGAGGAAGTCAGGCTAATTTGAGTCACCTCACCCCTGAAGTAGGCTGGATGTTCATTGGAGCTGCGGGATTCCGCCGAGACCATTGCGAGCCAACATCTCAACACTAAAACTACTTCAGAGTGCTTTTTGGTTCACAAGGGGAAACCCTGCAAAGGCACGTGACACTAGTATTATGTGACCCTCTCTTTTTCTTTCATTTCACAACAAATATATCCCATGCGACAGTCTTTTGTCATTATATGTGTCCTGACATATGCTGTTTGAGATTGAAATTTGTGGAAAGGTACTATCGCCTTACGCCAGTCAACAAGGCACTTGATGATGATGGACTGTAACATTATCGCCAAAAGTAACCCTGTCTTCCCACTGCTAGAAAAAACAAAACAAAAAAAAGCACCACACCTTTTCCCCATAGCAAAATAACAAAAACTTTATTTTATAAGTACAGCATCCCAAGGGCTGGATCAAATTACAATTATTTACATTCAATTTATTGGGAAAAACAGTTTCAGAATATGAGTTATTCACCATACGAGCTCAGTCACAGAATGGATTACATTTGTACCTGGAGGTTCCATTGTATACATAATCACAGCATAATGTATAAAGCCATAACATCATCTACGAGACATTAAAGCACTTCGACAGCTCCCAAAAAAAAAAAAAAATACTGAAAATTTACAGCATAAAATTGAGCTAAAATGCACTGTCAAATAAATTATGTACCTTTTCTTTCAACAGCAGTACATTCATAATTGCAAGCAGAGGGCATGGGCCATTCTCATTCTGGGTGATTATTGGCACATTTCTTGTTCCAAACATAATCCACTTGATGTAGTAAACAGATTCATGGTCAGAATGTGCTGCAGGAGGTTCAGCAGCAACAGCAGCAGCAGTTTCCAGATGAGATACAGTAATCTGTGTTTCTGATTCCGAAGAGTTCAAATCTGACAAGTCAGTGGTGCTGTGGATGCCACCTGTCTCCAACTGAGGATCACGCACATCTTCTGTAGAAACAACATCCACAGCTGTGTTGTGTAACTGACCTTGAGTAAAGTTATCTTTATTTTCATCTACTGGTTTTTGCACATTATCTCTGGAACCAATTGAATGGATGCCACTGTCCTGCCCATGAAGGGAAGATGATTCACTAGTGACAGGGGAACTGAGACTCTGCACCTGATGTTCACAATCCCCATCAGCAGCTACATGACTGTTGGTGCTGTCAGATTTGCTTTCTCCCGGTAAAGATGATGCACTACAATGAACAGGAATAGACTGTAAACTGTCACTTTTCTCCACTGTATCATATTCCAAAGGGCTAACATCTTTCAAGTTACATGATGATGTCAGCTCTAAAGGGGTCGACTCCACAGCATCATGCGCTAAGAATTCAGCGTCATCTTCACAATTTGGTTCTGGAATCTCAGACTGAAGCAGTGAGTCACCTGCCAAATCTGCAGAAGCACTTACTCCAAGAAGATTGCTTTCTGTTGGTGAATCAGCCCCATGTTTTTCTTCTGCATCTGAAATACTTGATGTTGGCACTAAAACTTCTGTTGGAAGCTTCAAATCAACACCACCTACTGCCTTGCTATCCATTGGTTAAACGTATTCACTCCTGTCAAAAACAACAAAACAGTTGACACATTTATATATTTGAATATCTAACATTTCTATATTTGAATATCTATGGTTGTAACTTGTATAGTTGTGAATTGTAGTACTACTACACACCAGTTCTGCAATCTATGCTAATACTGGGTCATAATAATAAATAACACACCACAGCATATTTTTTAAAAATTATATTCTGTTGGTTAGCAGTCACTTATAACATGCTAGAAGATTTGGACAAGTGCACTTCAAAAATCAATACATAAAAGTTAAGTACATGAATAAACAGTTTAAAACTAGATGTAAAATTTGCCCAGAAAAAGCATAACAGCCAAGACATGATGGGGTTGCTTCTTCAACATCCTGTAAAGGATACGCAACTAACTTAAAC